AGTCTTTTAATTATTACTCTTTATCAAGGTTTAAAGCAGTGATACGTATCGGCCGATATGATTGATACGTATTGTTTCGGGACCTTCCCAATATGTCCCTATAGTAGGTGTATCGGGGTTCTAATTGGTTTAGGGGGTAGAGGAGCCTTAAACTGCCCCCACCCCTCCTAATTGGTTCAAAAAAATAAAAAAAAAATTATAAAAAAAATAGTATTAGTATTGCCCGATATACCCCTACTGGCGTACCGGGCATATCAATATTTTGAACCTTGCTCTCTTTATATCAAAAGGATGAGATTCATATTAATAAATTGAATGAACATAAATTGTAACCTTAATTGATCTTTCCTTCTCATAATTAATTTTTTGTGTCTTAAGAAAAAACTTCTTAAGTTATTTGTTCTTTTTTATTTCTTAAATCTTTCTCTCACTCATAGTTCAAAGTATCGATACATATCATATCATGCAATAAGTATCAACTTTTAGGGTGGATGATAGACATAATACTGCAATTTTTTTTTTTTTTAAAACAAGAATATGTTCAAAGACTAACTTTCCATGCTTAGAATTGGTGAAATACAATTTTTCGTATCATCGGTATTGATACTTTGAGCCATGTCCATGCCCCCATTCTTAATTTCTTTAGGTTTTCTACCCTTAATTGAAGATCTCTTATGCAAAATCATAATAAGTTCTTACGTTCTTTTCATTGCTTTTCCAAAATACAGGGCTCCTTTTGAGCTCAAAATTAACTTGCCATGTGGACAATTCCTAGATTGTTCAAGAAAGCTTCATAAATATGACCCAACAAACTCATCTCCAAAAGGTGTTGGTAGAGCTTGCGAGTAGGAGAACCGGAATCCTCTGCCAGATGGTTTTGCATTACCCAGCAAGAACCCTACCCACATGACATCGCAACCGCACATTGGGAACATCTCCTCTACTTGTATCTTACAAGCATGGGAGATGTTCCCAATACATGGCTATAGTCATTTATGGGTAGAGTCTTTTGAGTAGGAGATGCAGAGCTTTCCTTAAAACCCTATAACCCATCAAACCCTGATGAAAGTGGGGGAATCGATCCCAAGTCTCTGCTACAACTAGCATTGATGGTAGAATAATTGATAAATTCGAGCCCTAATATCCACATGGCCAAATTGATCCCTCTTCCCTGGACAATCCCCAGCCCTCTCTTCAATATACATGATTTTTTTTCCTTTATTTCAAATAAAGAAATTATATTACCATCGGAAGGAAAGCTATAGTCATAACATGGGACGGTCTGAATTGTTCGAGCTGACCGGTCGAACTGGTGACTTGCAACCCGAAGACAAAAATAGTTCGACCTCCAATCCGGTTTTTAAAACATTGGAGCGAAAAGGGGAGTTGTTTGTCATTTTCAGTCATAATTAAAGGCATTTAGCCTTGTGCCTCATATACCAAAAAGTGGAGTATCTCATTCATTGTTCCTTTTGCTTTTGCTTGTAAAATTTACATTCTCATTGCTTAATGCATGATAGTATTATTCTAAATTGCATCTGTATTAACATAGTGTGGGACAACCAATCTCACTACCGAAGCTGCATCATATTCCAAATTCATTTCATTAAAGCAATTCTATGGAGGGGAGATCCAACTAGTGCTCCTTGGAATTTGGCTTCTTTTGCACAAATTGCTTCACTTGGGATTCCTTAAGCTGCCACCAAATAACACAGTGTGTCCATCCCAATCATGAACTACTGTTCCCACATTGATTGAAGTTCTTTGATAACAGACATAGTATAGCACAAATTCCTAAGCAAGATGCACCAAGTAAATGGCCTGTTTGGCCACATCATTATTTCCTCAAAAGCTGTGTTTTTTCTCCATAAAAAGGTTATAAAATTATCTTGAATGAAATATTTCAGGTACTATTTTCTGTTCTTGTACAGCAAAGACTTTGTTTTCACCACCCCTTCTAATTTATTATTTCTAGTAAAGGATAAGAGAAATACAACAAAGAAAAAAAATATTTTGCATAAGATTGGCATAAAAAATAGCACCAAATGCCACCTTGTATTGTCATAAATTCCATTTGACAACAATCAACTGCTGTAAAATCTCCCCCCCCCCCCTATGTCAGTGGCTGCATTAGGAAGCTTATTAGAATAAGAATATNCCCCCTATGTCAGTGGCTGCATTAGGAAGCTTATTAGAATAAGAATATGTTAAGCAAGTTAGAATTTGTTTAATCTTAGCTCTCTTACAAATTGTAGATGCCACATGAAGCCAATTAGAAGAACTCTAGCTCTAATAGAGGTCTTTGAATTATACTTAAGTCTGTTCCCCTATTACTAGAAGGACTCTCTCTCTCTCTCTCTCTAACAGTTTGCATTTGATAACTCCAGCACTACCACAGCTAAATGTACATAAAAGGGAAAAAGGGGAAAGAAATGAAGAAAGTGAGAGGGAGAATAAATATAAAATTAAAAGACCACCCTAACTTTGCCTTATGGTTTGAGTGTTTGATCACCAAGGCCATTTTCTTTCTTTTCCTCCTTTCTCAAAAGCAGCCTTTCCATGCCTTATTGCCCTCAGCATGATGGATTTTTCATCACTTTAGCCAATTCTCCCATGATAAAATAAAAGATGAAACAAAAGAGATAACTTTGTAGAATAAAGAAAAAGCAAAAAGTAGAAGCAAAAATAAAGCATATGGTACCCAATAAGATATTATCTACAGATTGAGCACCCTAAAGCCTTTTGCTATTCCATCAAATCCCAGTTCAAAATATTCCAATCAGATGGTTTCACACTCTTCATTCAAAGAAGAGGAATGATAAAAGAGAAATGGGCAAGGGACAGTTTAGTTAGCATTATAATCAAATGCCACTAGTTTGGCCATTTTGTTTGTACATCTCTTCATGAATGACAAAAGATGTTTTTGAATCTATTAACTACAAGTAGGATTGCTCACGGTTCGATTACTTTAGTTTTTGACTGATTCAATTTGTTGGTTTCTCAGTTTTTTTTTTTTTATATTTTCAATATAATATAAATATTATATATATACCAGTCGGTTCGATTAACTGCTATAACATCGATTTTTGCAAAACACCAAATCCAAATTGAATGAATTTATTTGGTTAATCGGATTTTCTGGTTTGATTTGCTTGATTCAGTGATGTTCCTGATGTGTGGTTATAGTGTCTCCTGGGTATACGTGTGGGTAGCTTCTTTAGGAGTGGCAGATTCCAAGTAGAAAAAACCACCTTTGGTGGAAAAGGTGTCCTTAAATCAGAGTTACACGTGTTACAATAAATCAGAAAAAAGATACACGTGTTGTGATAAGATTTAATTCTTCTTTGTCGTTAAGCGTGGGTGTGGGGGCCTCACTTGCTCCCATTGTGAGGGTCAATTTTGGGGGTTGTTTGCATTGTTACAAAGAAAGGCATTCTTTCGCTTTCGACAAGGTTTGAGATGTAGACATGGAACGAAGCAGCGGCAAATCCCAATCGAATTTTGACAAACATGCCCTTGTCGATATATTTACTTAAATATTTATCCATCTCGGACAAACAAGGGAATTGACCACCCCATCTCCAACTTGCTTTTCGGATAGAGCTGTGGAAAGGAAACCTCACTTGGGTCCCCACCACCCACAATATATCTTTCCTAGTGGTGGGCCCCCATTTGGTGTGAGAGTCCCTGTTTCACTGTTTGTGTGATTGTGACATGGATTCTTGGTCCACTCACTTCGGCTCCCTAAGAACGTCCCTATGGGCTATGGGCCGGCCTATCCCAATTGTATTTGCTCGTCATTTTACGCATTGTGGGAAGGCATTTTTGTGATTTAACTTATTCATTATGTAATTACCAAAATGTCCTGATAGCGTTTTATCCTTTATTGTTTATGCCCATTGAGGCATTGAAGTTGGTCAAATCTTACGAAACTAGTCCACTTGGCATCTCTTGGCTGCGTCGCTGGCTTCCATCATGGGTCCCACTTGGCATCTAGTAATCGTATCATTGACTTCTATTTTTTCTTTAAATCGTATCATGGATTTAGTTTGAAAACATTAACACAATTAAACATTTTATTTTATTGTTTGGCCTGATTAGTTTGTAATGCAATTTCATTTATACTGATATAAAAGTATAAGAGTGCAAATGAGTTGAATGCAAATTGAGATTTATTTTCATTTTAAATTAAAAAAATTAAAATATGGATATTCTTAATACCCAAAATTTAAATTATGGTGAATTTCATTCAATCAAAAAAACTTTTTTTTTTTATAATTTTTGGTTCTGATATTTTGTCAAACAGATACATCAAATCATATATTAACATTTAAAAATCAGTATTTTTGAACTGTCCTTGATCCGGATAATCAGATCATTTGATTCATAAATCATTGGCCAATAACCATTGATTTAGTCAATGATCCGTTGACTTAGATGGTTGAACTATTAATCCGTTTACTTGAACAACGATTTTGACCATTTTTTATTTTTTAAGTTAGAACAGACTGCCCATTCAAACTGAAATGACTCAAACCACTGACCCCAAAACCAATGGCCAAAATAGATCCGGTTCTGGATCAGACCTGGTTTGAAATCCTTAAATTCAACCAAATGTTAATAATTGGTGACTCTAGAAAACAATTGAATCGTATAATACAGATCAATACATTGCGATATTTTCAACATTTTTGAATTTTATCCTGTTTGTTCCTTTGCAGTGTAAATAAAGGCTTGAAGCAAAATGAAATAAAACCCCAGGAAAAAGCTAACCAGAACCTACATTATTTTGATTTGTACTCTTTATGTATTTATTTGCAAAGAAACCGAGAAGAAAAAAAAAGCAATCCAAAGCAAGGAGGAATGATCCCCAACCCATTCAGAATGTACAGTATTATCAGGTTTGGCTTCTTGGGCCATTCTATTCACTACATGGTTCAGATCCCTATAGCATACAGGATTCAAAACTGTTCCGCAACATACAAATTTGCATTCACCAGCTTCCAAATTCCAAACAACTGAGAGCTTCTACAGCTACTGGCATTGAATTCGTCTCCTAAACAGCTTAGCTAGATATTCTGCTTCCAGGAGTCCAACCAGCTTTGTTTCTAAAGCTCCCCACTGGAAAGTTACCCCCTCCTGCTGCAAAAAGCTGTAAATTAAAGCTTTACAGTTTCTATAAACATTCTTAACTAACCAAACTAGTACCAGGTGGGTCATGGGTGGTGGTTGTAGAAGCAGCTTAATCCAAAGCTGGCCCACCATGTTCTCATGTTGGGGTTGTGTAGCAGATTTTAAACTACTCCCTGTTTGCAGTGAAAGAATTCCTCCTTGCATAACCAAGGCAATATTGCAATGTGAAATGTATATTGGTTCATTCTCTGTCCTCCTCCATGAAATACCACACAATATACTGAGCTGGTCCCCCTTGGAGCACAGTGGGCCCAAACAACAGTTGGGCCTAACCATGGTTTGGGGACCAGCTTTGCGTTTCCCCATGATGTACTTGAATCGACCTGATTTTTATATGGGCTAATGTTTTGTTGTGACCCATTTAGTGGTAGATATTGATCCCATGAAGATGAGATGCATGGCAAGTTGTAGTATAGAACATTAGAACCACCTATTAATTTAAAATGTGACGAGTGGAATTTATTCATAGGATTAGAACCCATAAAAGTACTTTTTTTTTATGAGTAGCCCATAAAAGTACTTCGTAGTCATGAGTGACTACCATCTCTATGTATTATTTCAACTCTTTTTGTTTTACTGTATAAAGGGTGGAAAAATTTTCAATTAGTAAAATTATAGTTAATGCTTCTGCCCTTTAAAGGCCAAACTTTGTTTTCAGCCCCTTTTACATGACAAACAAACACTACCTAACTGCCCGAGGAAAAGGGTTTTCTTACTTAGTTTTCAGCCCCTTTTACATGAAAAACAAACACTACTTAACTGCCCGAGGAAAAGGGTTTTCTTACTTAGTTTTCAGTCCCTTTTACATGAAAAACAAACATTACCTAACTGCCCGAGGAAAAGGGTTTTCTCAAGTATTACAGAGTCAAATTAAAAAAGCTGTCCAAACAATCCTACTCATTTGTAAAAGCACTTAGAGAAGGGCTTATATTGGGTATATAATAAAAAGTTTTTGGCTGAAATTTTCCCTAAAGGATAGGCTCCTTTTAGAATACCAATATTGCCACGTGGAAAATGGTTGGGTTGCCCATTTAATCATCTGGGGTAATAACCATCCATCAGTGGACCCTGATCCATTGGATAAGGGACATGTCCGGCCCTTAGAGGACCATAATCCTCTAAATCTGGGGACACTTGGCGAGTATTAGGTGACCAAACCCTCTTCTACGGTGACCACTCATGTGGGTCCCAGTCTACCGGTCCGTACTAAAGCTCCATTTTAATTTCCCAATTCATTTGTAGTTATGTTTTTCTAACGGGAACACTATGGACCAAAATTAGAGGGGGTCCACGAACGGGCCCACATGTGCACCGGCCCAATCCATGCACTTGGACTGCACTAGAAAGAAAATAAAGAAAAATCCAATAGACTAAAGACCCACCAATCAATTTCTTGGCGAAAAGCGACCAGATGGGACGATCGCAGCCGTCCAACCAATCAAACTCTTTATGGGTGGTGGAAGTTGTGGAAGAAATATCGATGGAGACAAGTGGGTTGAGGAAATAATGTAGCCTAGCTACCTGACGATCACTGATGTGGCCCGGTGCAAGGGGAACTTTTCTTTTCTTCTTCTTCTTCTTTTTTTTTTTTTTTTCTTTTTCAATTTATGGGCCAGAAGGTCACCATAGCCGGGCCCACAACATGGTGGTTCCCCCTCCCTTTCATGCATACATGTAATGCCTGAAATTTGCATGCATGAGAGGTCCCTCGGCAGAGATATTTTTGACAAAAGATTGACCAGATCAAATGACCCGAACCGTCTGTTATCAATCACATACTTCCGAGTGGTCACTGCAATTTGGGCTGAAAATATGTCCAACCCGTGCCGGGACTGATCCAACCCGCAATTTTTGGACTTGGGTCTTTGAATATTTATCTGTTGAGTTGGATTCAGGCACAACCCTTTCAATAACTATTATATACATCAATATATACATTTATGTTAAATCTAAGTATAAAATGATTGACCAATCCGATTCTGACTTAGGCCCAAATCCGATTTGCGTGCATGTAGGCTGAGCCCAGGTTAAACCAATTGGGCTTGACCTCCGGTTCGATAAATCAAACACAACCTTATAGTTATGTGTAATGTCTTTGTGAGAGAAATTACTGAAACCCTCAACTTGGTTTCTTATGTTTGGTGAAGTTGTGAGACCGAGAAATTTATAAAAAAAAAAGTTAAATATTTAAAATATATAAAGGAAAAGGTGCTCTTTTTTTTTATAATAAAAAAGGATATTATAAAACTAATCAATTTACATAAATATAGTTCTGGGGACCAATACAATAAAACATTGGGGTTTTAATAGTTTGAGGGGTTTATAAGCATCTTTCTAATGTTTATAAAATGTAAAATAAAAAAAAAATAATCATATCCTTGTTATTAATTTTAAATGTATCTTGTTGTTAAAAAAATCTTTTTTATCTGATTTTTAATTTTAAATGTATCAATTGAAACTTGAAAGGGATTGGAGGTTAATTTATCTTTTGATGCCCTGAGAAAGATGACGTGGGAGAGCTTAAACAAAGCAACCTAAGAAATTAAGATAACTACAATCTAATTAAAAAAATTCGAAATATAGTTTATAAAAGCATAGAATGACAGAGACAGGGCCCATAAAAGCTGAAGTGTGTCGGTTGTTAAATGCCCAATGAAATAAAAATAAGCTTGCATACGACATGTACATTTATAAATTTAATATAATAAAGAGGTCATTTGGCAAGTTTTTTGGAAGATTTTTTGATACTCATTGAGTTTTTGCATTAAGATCTGAACGGTTTGAAGCCCATTTAGTTATTTTTATGTGCAAAGATGAATAGGAAAAAAATACAAAATCTTCATTTGAAACTTCCCAAAAATTTTCTATTTTAAATATCTTTTTAATATATTGACTTTTAATAGCTAAATCCACCATGGACCAAATGAGAAAAGACTGAATGACGGTCTGTCGAGTTTTTAAATAGCTGACAAATTACACGGAAAGATGCACCCAAACGGAGCCTAATTTACTGCACACACGTACGCACAATACAAGAAGAGAAAATATGACATGGAAAGCTAAGGCAAGTTGTGAATTATCATCTTTAATTCGCATTATAAGAAGAAAGAATTTAATAAAAAAAATCGTCAATCTCTACCTTTCTTCAATCTTGCCACTAATGGGGTGTTATGTATTATAGATATTATGTGGATATGATGTTTTAGGGGTGTGGCATGTTTTGAAATTATCATTGGATGGTTTTTAAATGTAAAATATGGTAATTTTGACAATATCTTTTATATCAATCCGCACCATGGTAAAATGGATGTATATATATATATATATATGATGTGGGGTGACCCAACCCAGCCCATACGAGGTTGGGAGGCCTAGTCTACGAGGTCAGCAGCGACCTCTCTGAGTCCTCGAAGCCTTCGGCCAGTTTTCGGAGTCTAGGGGCAAAATTACTTTGTTGTCATAGCCATTCCGAGCACCAACAATTGGTGCCGTCTGTGGGAACGACACTGATACGTTCCCCAAAAGAACTATATCAAGTTAACAAGTCCCCAAACTCTGACCAATCAACATGGTACGAAGAACAGGAAATACACAAAATCTTGTCACCAATGAACAATTCCAGGCCATGCTTGATAGCCTGGAATATTTGACACAACGAGTCGAGTAGAACTTCCCCCAGGCATGAGGTCGCCCCCAAGGTGACCACCCCGCCGGGGAGTCCACACAACCGGGCCGGCATGGGTCCACCACCCAATCGGCCCCCAGCCTCGGTCACGCATAGTGGGCCGAGCCTTCAGAGTCTGGCAGTAGTCGCCCGGTCGACCGGCGCTCCAGCACTTTCAGACCTCCCAGTTAAAGGGAGGACAATTCCAGACCCCCCAGCCAGGGGGGAGGGGACTCCAGACCTCCTAGAAAAAGGGAGGAAGAACCAGAACAGTCAGAGGGCAGCTACCAGCCCTCCGAGCAGCATCACCGACGCTGGAGGACCGACCCAGGGGATGAAGGTGGGCGCCGTGATCGCCCTAGCGCCCACTCCAGGGTCAAGGGACAGTGCCGAGCCTCTTCCCCTCACATCTTGGACCTCCGAGATGTCCTTAACGACCGCCGTGCAAGGCGCGAAGCACACGACCTCAACTCTGAGCACATTGGCGTTCGCATCGAACATCATTGCATCCGTGAAGACTAGGATGGCACCCAGGCCAAGCCCGACCCCATGTTCGCCGAACTCCGAGCCGAGCTCGATGCTGTCAAAGTCGAGCTCTAACAAGTCAAGGAGGGCCGAACGGACACCTTGGTCGGACAAAGCTCCTGCCAAGGGAGAATGGATGCCTTCTCCCCTGATATCATCGCCGAGCCTCTGCCCCCAAACTTCAAAGCTCCCACCTTAGAGATGTACGATGGAAGCATTGACCCGGACATCCACCTGGAGAGCTTTAGGGCACTCATGATCCTTTATGGGTACTCTTACGCCTTGACGTGTCGGACTTTCTAGGCAACCTCTAAGGGAGCCGCTCGACGGTGGTTCTCAAGCCTCCCACCTCGGTCCATCAACTCATGGGAGCAATTTTCTAGCATGTTCCTCTCGTGCTTCATCAGCAGCCGGCGCCCTCAGAAGAGTGTTATCTCGCTGATGACTGTTAAGCAGAAGCGAGGGGAAAGCTTGCGGTCATACATCGACCGCTTCAAGAAAGAAGAACTTGAGGTCTGCGACCTCGACCCCCTGGTCTCCATGCATGCTGCTATCAACGGGCTCCTCCCCAGCTTTGCCCTCAAATGCTCCGTGGCCAAAAGACAATTGAAGACGAAGCTAGAGTTCCTAGAAAGGGCCTAGAAGTATATTGCATTCGAAGAGGCCTCAGCTACAGACACCCATGAGAGGGGCGCGAAGCACCGGGATGGAGCCGCCGAGAAGAAGAGAAAAAACGGGGACCAGAGCCACAACAACAACAACAAAAATCCTTCGACGTCGGCCTTGGCTTACAATCAATATACGCCACTCAACTCCGCCCGCACACAGATTTTGATGCAAATCGGGCATGAGAAATTCATGAAGTGGCCTGAAAAGTTGAAGAATAACCCCCACCGGGGGTATCCCAAAAAATACTACAAGTTTCACCAAGGTACAGGCCACGACACTAAGAACTGCTACAATCTCAAAAACGAGATAGAGTCCCTCATTCGTTGGGGCCACCTCAGGTAGTACGTCAGAGGCGAGGCTAGTAACTCGTTCTCTCAGCAACAGCAGCAGCAGCACCAGGAAGCAGTAGGCGTCATCGACGTCATAGTGGGAGGCACAACCTTGGGTGGTGCCTCGGCTTCGGCTCGTAAAGCCTACACCAGGCAATTGAACATCCAGGGGCTGGCCCCCAAGAAGTTGAAACAAGAACCCCTCTCCTTCATGGATGAGGACCTGATGGGGGTAGCAGTCCCCCATGACGACGCATTGGTGGTTTTGGTCGTCATTGCGAACTTCGTAGTCAAGAGGATCCTTTTTGACAGTGGCTCCTCTGCCAACATCCTCTTCTACGAAGCTTTTGAGAAGATGAAAATAACTCTGGAGCACCTTAAACCAGTAGATGCCCCATTAGTCGGCTTCTCCGGTAGCATCGTCAAACCAGAGGGCAAGATCTCCCTACCGGTCACGATAGGGATGGAGCCCCAACAGGTGACGAGGATGATAGAGTTCCTATTCATGAAGATCGGCTCACCCTACAATGCCATCATGGGACGACCGACCCTTCATGCACTCCGGGCAGCTATGAACTCCTACCACCTCACCCTGAAGTTCCCCACCGAGAACGGCGTCGGAGTTGTTTGTAGAGGCCAGTATGCCACCCGCCAGTGCTATGTGGCAGCACTGAAGGGCAAGAGCAAAGAAACCCTGCCACTAGAGGGCCTCGANGGCATCCATCTCCTCTTACCACCTCGCCCTCAATTTCCCCACCAAACACAACATCGAAGTCATCAAAGGGGACCAACATGCCACCCGCCAGTGCTATGTGGCAGCACTGAAGGGCAAGAGCAAAGAAACCCTGCCACTAGAGGGCCTCGACCTCAGGGAGGAGCCAGCGAGACGAGGCCAACCGACCGAGGACCTCGTCTCGGTCCCCCTGGATGAGGACGAGCCCGACAAGACCATCCGCGTCAGTATGCAACTTGATTGGCTTCCTAATACACATGATTGTCGACAAACTCTTCATTTACATGATTCTTCAATTCCAGACACTCCTTTATGATTTTCCACAGATTCTAGGGGGGTCAACAAGCCACTTAAGAAAGGAGATCACGAGCAAGGAGTCACCTTTGATGATGATAGAGTGATTAGAGAAGTTTGCTACTAGATTGTGGGCATTCCAAACGGTCCATCCTTCTGCCAAGTTAGTGGTCGAAGAGCCTAAGTGGTAGGCCTTGTAATCTACCACCTCTTCCATAAAATTTCTAGCTATGACTGCATCTAAGCATACCACGTTGTTTAGCCGGGACACATTGAAATTTATTTTGACAGTACCAACTTTTGGAGCTTACCACACAACGTACTTCCACAATTTGGGGATTCAACCCCAGTAGCTTTCATACTGGTTTCATAGTATTCCCAGTAGGATGAGAGAGCTCTATCAATCACCATTTGAATAGGAGTTGACACATTATTAAAAGATTTTTTGTTTCTATTTTTCCGGATATATCATAATAATAATGCACACTTTTTTCTCTCATTGTTTCCTCCATTCAAATTCTTCTTACCAATTGCGTTTTCCATCTAAAACGGGTCCAATTGCATCCCATATTTGATTAATAGCTATACATTTTTTAAAATATAATCTACAACTTCGTTTTCTCCACAAAAATTGCGTTTTCCATCTACATTGAGACCTCTTTTCTAAAGGAGCATTTTTGTTGGGAATCTTTAATTTAGAAGAAGATAAAAGAAAACTTTTAGTTTTGGGGGGCATTTTACATTCCAAACAGTCGAACTCCACTTGGAGTTCAACTCTTTATAAAGAAACATGCTGCATTTCAATTTATATGCTTTACCTAATTGAATAAAATATGAAATGGGATTCAGGAAGAGGGCCTTGGAATTTAGATTCACCTTGTTCCTACTGTAATTGGGGCTGTAAATGGGATTCGTTGATCTGAATTTAAATTTGGTCCCGTTAAGGATGATATTGATCCGTATATAATCGGATCCACCTCTATCCAATCAAATAAAATCAAAACTGAAATTTATATTGGGTTCAATTTATATTGTGCAAACCCCATAGGGAAAAACTTTAATTAATCAACTGTATTATAAAAGCGGTAATCAATCAGTAGTATTTATCAAAATTGACTTCGGGGATTAATTGATCAAAAGCCTTTTAATATCATGTCTTTCCTGCAGCATAGATTTTTTTTTTACACCGCACCAAATCTAGGGGTGTCAATGGACCGGTTTTGGGTTGGACTCTGTCCAAATCAAAATGCATTTGGACAGATTGGATGAACCAATATGACATATTGGATTGGACCTGATCTGTCTATAATGAATTTATATTGGATTGAGTCAATATCTAGTCCATTGACAAAAGATAAGAACATTAGTGTTAATGAAACAGATTTGAGTTGAAACCAATCTAAGTTAACAGGAATTTGAACAGATTGAACAGTCTCTGGACCAATCCAAAATATTCATTGGACTGGATTGAACCATGTCCATTTRTAATGGACTCACATTGGACTGGACTGAATTGAACCAAATCCAGTCCAATTGACACCCCTAACCAAACCCAGGTTTTTTGGTCAGGCGGTTGAGCCCATCTAAGTTGCATCCCATCTACACGTAGAGTTGGCAATGTTGGAGCCTGAAGCGGGCAACCCTCGGTTGTGTAGCCCTATGATTAAAAGAATGTTCATAATATTCATTTTTAATATATTTTGCTTATGATAATAATATAAACTATAAAAACAATTTTTAATTCATTTTATTAATTGAGATATGTATTATGCAATTATTTTGATGCTAGGAGTATAGAACCAATGCAACAAAAAAAACTTACATTCACATACTTCATCTACCACACATGTACTCATCTTCGTATTAGAACCAAAGCAAAAAAAAAAAGCAGATAGCGTAAATAAATTATTTATGGAGTATAGGATCTTACAATATCAAATAGCGCAAGATCCTCTTGAAAAAGTTTAAGAGCCGAGCCTCGTCACCGCTGAGGGGAAAGAAATCAAAACCACGAGTACCATTAATAAGTTTTTATTTCCAACTAAATTGAAATTCTCATTCAAATTTACCCCAACGAAGACTATCAGTATGAGAAACTTATAAAGAAAATATAGATTGAACTTCTACGTACTAGGAGTGTAGAGCAGTAGCTGTTCTCGCCCTAAGATGAAAAGAAAAGCAAGATTAGGGTTTTATAATTTATAGAGAAAGACATGGGGGTCGATGAACTTACCTTTCTCGACTTCTCTGTTAATTTCATAGCTCTCAATGTGTCGATTGAATATAAATCCGACCTCAATCATTCAGAATCTTGATCAATGAAGAAAACTTTTCATATCATTGTTGTTGTGTGGGAGAGAAAGTGGAGAAGTGGAGTTGTGTAGGAGAGAAAGTAGAGAAGAGGAGTCATATTGCTCGTAGAAATCGCGTGACTCCATTATTTTAGAAATGGAGGGAAAGCATTGAACCGGTTTTGATTCACTGAATCGGCTAGTTCAATGCAAATACCGCCGGTTTAGTTTACTGAACCGCCACCCTGTTTTAACCATTTCCTCGGTTTAATTCAATGGTGGCAGTTATGATAAAACCGCCACCATTGATGCATCAAGGCTGGTGTTTCTTATGACTGCCGTCTTACAACCGCCAGCTTAGCCGATTTTTCTTTGTAGTGATTCTAGGATCTAGCTAATGTATCTCAGTTTGTCTAGCAAGTCGGTGACCAACACCCCTTAACAATATTAACCAGAATGACTAAAACCCAAATCTCTCAAAATAAAGACCAGATGAAAACTTGACTCATATTACAGTAGGGACAAAAAAAAAGATTAAATGAACCTTTACCAATCCAGTCGTCATTAAAATGGCTGTAGTTCTCTCAAAACATGTGGGTTTATAAGATCTTGGTCTCATTGGATAGACATGTCAATAGCCAGCTTAATGACACCAAAAACAAACAAGATGAACAAGTTTGCCTCTCAGAAGATRGGCTAAAAGAAAAGTTGAAAGAGAAGAAAAATCTTTATATCGTATTCTATATAGAGTCCCTAGAAAGATAATATGGTGGATCTTAGAAAAGAAAGGAGTTTCATATAGAATA